TCTGACGTACTTGCAATAGCTAAAGTGCTGGTGTGCACATGATGGTGCAAATATGTCCTCTCCTGTGTTTTGTTCACACTATAATTTCACTCTTGATTTTGTTTCACCTCTGGATTTCCTCTTTTCCATTCTATTCTTTCCATTCAACCGACTAAGACTGGTGGCTTCTTTGCTATTCAAGCCACCAGTCTTCAAGCCTCTTCTTTGCACCTCAAGTGACTCAGGGAGGAAGCGTCAGGGTACTCTCCCTCACAGGATCATGTATTGTTCTTGATCAATTCAAGAGAAAGAAATGGGATCAATGTACCGTATAAAAGTGTGGAGAAATGCTTCCAACACAATTCCTTCTGATGAACTGAAAACAAAACAAATGAATCAAGGAGGGGTACTGCCAAGTTCTGAGTTCACACAATTAGTGGCTTAATTTTGTGAGCTAACAATAGCAGTTGAGGTGCCAAGTGTCCATTGTGGGATTGGAATCTGTTGAGTCTAACTAGTCTTTACAGGATAAAAAGATGACTGGTTATCCACACACCGTGTAATTTAACCATATAACTGTTTCAGTCTTGAACAGACAATTTGCGCTGGAACTTTGACCACAACAGATGCATAAAGACAAGAAGCACATGGTTAAAGAAAAGAGAATTAAAAGAACTTTCTAATATATCCAGCATTGCTAATGTATAACTGGGTTGTCTGTTTTTGCTTGGCCCATGCTATACAATATAAAGTGGTTTTGACAAGGCTTGCAACTTTGGTTGTATCAACCCCCAACACTCTGTGAGTACCTTAGGCGTTGCTAAAAATTCAGCAACCATGTCTTCATCTTGGATATGACAATCATCAAAATACAATGCCATTGAGGTAATCCTGATGATTTTCTCTGTTGACAATACCATTACAATTGCTGGTGGTCTTACTTAAGACAAAAAATAATACATGAATAACAAAACAGCAGTAGCAGCAGCAGCAGGCCGCAGTCCGCAGTCTGCAGTCTGCAGTCCGCAGTCCGCAGTCGGCAGTCGGCAGTCGGCAGTCGGCAGTCGGCAGT